CGGGTTAGCTGTTTCCCCCGTGCTGCCAGTCTTTTCGCTAAGCTAAGCTGATCTCTAGCTCCATATGAGAGTGCTATCAAACTTCTCATCTAACTATTGGCAAAAAACTTTCAAAACATTGAGATGTTCCTTCATCTTAAGAGGCCAACGTTTTCAAGTGTTAAATGATACCTAAATGCAAGAAGGTTGTCAAAACAAAAGTACAGTCTAAGATTGTCAAAAATGTGAATAAAATCAAGAACAATCTGATCAAAGTATAAGTAAACAAGATTATGAATCAAACCAGACATTTGATGCTATCTCTCAGTAACTAACAGATTTTGCTACTTTGTGCTGCAGGCATGTTTCAATCTGCACCAAACATGTATGGAAGTTTGAAACCCAGTGCCAGTCTCCCCAGATTCCTTGAGAGTTACACACAAAAACACACAACCAGATGCATAATACATTCTTCTCTCCAAAAATCCATTAGTGGTGCGTCATATACAGCACAGAGAAGCTGCAATGATTCAACAGTTGCAAGCAGCTCCCCTGTACAATATTTGAAACCTCTGTCCTCTGTTGTATAGGATATCCCGTCAACAGATTGGTGTCACGTTTCATGACACCCTGATACCCTGATACCCCTGCCCAGCCTGCGATATTGTTTTGGAAAGATCCATGTGTTGCCATGGCAGCGCAGCACCAGCTTTCCCAGTGTGATTGTAGTTTTCCACCTGCAGCAGGAAAAAGACCTGTTCCCCTCCCAAACACTGTTTCCATGTAAACATTTTACAGGAATGTGTGTGTGTGTGTGTGTGTTATTTTTGTGGTTCAAAGCAGTTTGGTTGTTTTATTTTGCCAATGGCTCTGGGAGGAAATCAATGTTTTTTTTTTAAAAAGAATACCGTGTGTGTGTGTGTGTGTGTGTGTGTGTATTTGCACTGCTCTCTAGGCATATGTGTCAGTTAGGAAGAGGAAGATGCCTATCTGTGGCCAGTATGTGGATGTGGATGAAGAGGCCAGTGGTGGAAGCCACATATCAGCAGAAACACAAGAGAGCAGGGGCATACAAAGAAATCATGTGAGAGACAGACGGAGAGAGAAAGGCGACGTTAGAAGCGATGTCTGGGCTGAGATGAGGTCAGACGTGGTCAGACTGAAGCCTAGTGTTTCATGACCACAGGCTATAGTGACCCATTAACAAACCTGAACCTGTAAAGCTCAGTAACCCTCCCCCATTGGAAACTGCTGGTCATGCACACACTTATGCCCTGTTTGTGTCCATATAAATAACATAATGTAAAAATATGCTAAGATGTTTTGAGTCTATTAGCAGACTACTAATAGTCTCAACAGTTAATTTGCTTATAAGAGAAAACTTATGTTTCTATCTTGTTTTACTTGGCAGATAAACCGGAGCTATTTACCCCCTAGCTTTTGTATGCTTTTGTACCTTAGAGACATACATTCCCCAGAAGACACTGCATTTAGTCAGAGTCAGAGCTGTGGTGATTCATTTGGCATTTCATGCATCATCATTTATCCAGAGTTTATCATTATTATTCATGATTGGGGTTTTAGGTCTGTGGCTGTTCCCTCTTTCAACCAAGAGATGGTTACATACTAAAAACTGTTGTTTGAATGCTCAGTATTCTTGGCCTCGAGGCTGTGTGTGGGCACTAAAGGCATTCCACTAACACACACACACACACACACGCGCGCACACATACACACACACACACGCACGCGCGCGCGCACACATAACCAGACGGACAGACGAACATATGCATACACTCACCCTCAGTATGTTTCTACTGACAGCATTTTTCCAAAGCAAGGTGGCAGGAAGATTAAAACGAGGCCTGCAGTTACTCGAGTGTTCTGGAGAAACAGCTGGAGGAATCATTTTTTTAAACGTCAGCTCGAGATGTTACGCTGCCTTACATGAACACACAGAGGTGGGGTCAAGGGGAAAAAAAAGAAAAGAAAAACATGCCAGGATGGCACCCACTCACTTCCCATTTGGTACTTTTCACATCAACACCCTGTATTTTTAGACAATGCATTTGACATATGTGTTTTCTTTTTGTTAGCATGCTGTCTTCTAAAAGTTTTTGTTGCAACAAAAATAAAAATGTTAGATCCTGTAACTCAGTAATACTGTCTGGCATAAATACAGAAAGCTGCACCCTGGTACAGGCTAAATGTGTATGTATGTACATTGTAAAAGATATGAAATGATAAGTGGCCACTAAACACACAGCAAGAAGCACAAGTGATTAAAGTTACCCTGTGTACACAAGTGCCAACAAAAACAATCTAGCAACAACCATTAGCCCACGCAGTAAGCCAGCTAGCAATAGCAACATATGCTGAACAAATTCATGATACAAGTGACAGCAAGTTAGCTAAGGTTACCATGCCGTTAACTAATGAAAACAGACATGTACCATTATGTAGCCATCAGGTTACTTACACATTGAGGAGAAGAAAAGTCAGTTCCAAGTCAAGATGAAGGCCTTTACTGGTATTGGCTCCATGGTCAAACTGGGAAAGAAATTCAGCCTTGGACTTACCTGCTGGGACCAGGCCACACGAACGACATTGACAGAGCCAGTAAAATCTTTATGGATGTTTTGATGGTCCACCGGCTGACCGGGATATGAGCCGGTTGTCCCCATGGCCAGTCCGCCTGTTCCCTGGTCTTATCTCTTGCTTTGTCAGTGGCCTTTTTAGATGAAAACGTGGTTTCTGCTGCGTACTGCACAGTGCCACATCAAGTGTATTCGGTCCCTTTGTGCTTATACACATGGTCAGGACCAACAGGTTAACAAGGAAGGGACTCACATGCACTCAAATGCACGTGACGGTGTCTTGGATACCAAACCAAAGAACAGAGAAGCTCAGATTACGATACACACAGAGGGGGGTGTGGCTTTGTTACCTACTCAGGACGCCATTGCTCCACTATATCTTTACATAGAAAATAGCTGTTTGCTGCTATATTATTGTTTAAAATCTCGCTTACAGAACCTTTAACACCGCAACATAATTAGCAAGAGTCTGTGGAAGTTCAGAAATAAAAGTGTGCAGCAGTTGCAAAATAACAGCAGCAGCGTATACTAAGAATAAAAATGAATGAAGAATGTGTAGTACACTACTCGGTTTGGTTTGCTGCAAGGTTTGGCATTGTGGGAAGAGACTGTTTGCACACAAACACACACACACACAGAGCCTCTATGTTGGTCTTTGCCGGGCAGAATGCCATTGGTCGAAACCGGCACAGTGGGCAGCTCCCGCCCACAGGCAGCAGCGAGTACACGGAGCGAGTGGTGGGTGGGCTGAAGGTCAGACGGGCCCTGGACACACTGGCATTGTTCTTTCTATCTTTTTCTGTCTGTTTTTAACTCACTCCATGACCTGTGACTTTAAGAGCATATGTCTGTGCGTGTGCCGGCACAAAGACACAGAGATTTATTTAAGTGAGACTGTAGAGGCACAAGAAAACTATAAGTACTCAAGTCGATGTCGGCTGAATGTGTTTTAAAGCGACAGAATGCTTATAATCGGTGTGTGTGTGTGTGTGTTTGTGCTTGACTCTGGCACAATATTAGTGTGAGTCAGCACAGAGGAGGCCCGGCCAGCTCTCTAAGAAGTGCGGCTCTGTTGAATGTCGGAGTGGGAGGAGATGAGCAAAAGGTCTTCTGTGACATTCAGAGATGTATGATGTCTTCCCCTCAGCTGTTACACACTAGATTCCCCGAACCACTGACTGTACTCTCTCCTCCTGGAAGCTGAGCAATTTTAACTCAACGAAACATGTGTAACGGAAGCCACAACATGAACTCTGAATGAAATGCATAACCTCGTTGAGTGTGACTTTGTAAAGCAAGTCATTTGTAGTCAAACTGTACTTTATTTGTATCCAGCTCTCTGACCTTTGTGTCTTGTTCTTTGTGTCTCTCCCACCTATCCCTGTAAAGGGCAGCCACTTTGTGACAGCGGAGCTTTTATTTTCCCTCTAAGAAAGTGATAGCGCCCACCGCAGAAGCAGGTCGGAGGGAGGTTGCTGAAAATTTCCCCAGAGATGCTGAGTGTTCAAATTATTTGAACCTTGACCCAGTTTGTAGTTGGCCTTTTCAAGTGCTTCCTCTCGGAGCGTTGTGTTTTTGTCTGAATGCATGAACAAAGATGCAGAGGGGAAACTCATTTTGTGTGCCCCAGTTTCCAGAACTGCATTAATTAGTGTTGGAAATTAATTCTGCAATACATGACACGAGGCCAACTAGCAAATGTAAGACTGAGATCCTGCCCAGTGTGCATTGTGACGTCAGCTAGCATTAATGGGTTTTAGTTAGATCAAAGCTTACTCAAGTTATGTTTAGCAAAAGATATGAAATTATGTTTGACAGCACCAAATACCAGCTGTATACTGTGTTCCCCACCTTGGCCCCTCTGGAAACTGAGTGCAGTACAGAAAGCTTCATAGTTAGCATGAATTTCGTGATTTGCAAGTCAAAAGATGTCTGAATATCTGCGTTCAAAGTGGGCTAAAAAATTTGGTTTAAAAGTGAGCGATATTTAAACATCTAGGTTCCACACCATTGTATCAACTGCATTTCAATGACTCGCATCCTAACTGTGTTTGAAATATGGTCTTTGAGATACTGAAACAGTGTCTGTAGCTAACCTAGATTTTCAGTTTTCATCCCAGTTTTTAATAAGACATCAAGACATGTGTTGACCTGCAATTTGGACCTAAATCAGCCAGCTGATATGAACGTAGTGCAGTAACGAGGAATATCAGCACAGGAATGCTTAACTGTTTAGATGTCATTTAGATTCATCCATTGACAAGTTGATTTTTTAACTGTAAAATGTCCAGGTATGAAAAAAAATCAGAGGTCTGTTCCACATGTGAGATCATATATAAATGCAAGCTGTCTCAACAGAAACATCGAGAAGTTTGAAAGAATGTAAAGGATACTAATGTAACGTTTGGTCCTCTCCCATCACAGATGGTCATTTCACGGGGACCCCTCCTTCATACGGTTACGATGCCGACCGTGCAGAAGAGCAGCGGAGGCACCACGACATCCTGCCGTACATCGATGACTCGCCGTCGTCTTCACCGCACCTCAGCTCCAAGAGCCGCAGCAGTCGGGACACCCTCTCCTCGGGATCGTTGGAGTCCTCCAAGTCGGTCAGTATGCTCTCCTACTGTCTCTTGGCTGATGTTAATTTAGGAAAGTAGATTCTGAACTGGAAAATAGTCATCTACACTAAGTCCAATTCAAGTGGCCAAATTTCCTCAACAGGAAATCTCCCCCATCCTGTGGGTGATGCAGCAACTAAGCAGCAGATATTGACTAAAGAGAAACCAAGGCTCTGATCTAATTTATATCAATATATTGATTTTATTAGTGTAAGATACAAAGCATTAATCCCACATGAATACACAATTCTACAAACACGGTTGGTATCACTGTTCAATGGCTAATACTTTGACCTCAATACAGTCTAGGAAGTGGGGTAATCTATTCTTACAGCAATCCTGCTTCATCAAAAGCTGTCAATTGATGAGAAATCAAATCTGCCATTTGAGAGGATTGATAAGGGACAATATTTCCTGCCTCATAACCACGGAAGCAGTCATCCGGCAAAGAAACTCATCCCCCTTAAGAGTCTGGCTTTTTCTCATCCACGGTATTAGGCAGAATTACCTATCACCTCCAACACTGCCTTCATCCTCTTACCCTCCCTCCTTCCCTCGTTCTTGTCTGCAGAGGGAAAACCAGTGATCTATGACGTCTGGTGCTTTTCATGGGTTACCATGGGGAGGACACACACATGCACATCCGCCTGCAAACACACACACACACACACACACAACCCCAGAGTCATCAAAGATGAATATGAGCATGAATCTATTTTTAGCTACATGTACATATTTGTTCTATTGATTATTATATTTTTTCTATTTATCATATATTGTATACATTTTCTATGTATTATATATACATTTTTCATTTGTCATTCTCATTTACATCTAATTTTCTGCACCACAAAATTTGTAGGTAGCAAATGAACATGCTAAAGCCATACGTTTGATTAGAATAGATGGGTATCGTGGGAGAATGTAATAAGCTAATACTGCCTCTCTCCACTGCGCCCTTGGTGGAAGTAATCACATCAGTGGTCATGGTGCAGTATCACTTACTCTGCCCCCTCAGTCTTTGCCCACTGTCTGAGCAGGCGAGCGAGAGCGCCTGTCAATCTGATTGATGGCTTGAATCTGCCAATAAATGGTGATTCCCTTGACTGCACCCGACCTTTGACCTTTTAGCTTGGAACTCTCACTGATTTTAATTATACACATGCAGGTACACGCGCATACACACACACACACACACACACACACACACACACACACACACACACACACACACACACACACACACACACACACACACACACACACACACCCACACACACACACACACACACCATGTAATTTCTGCCTGAGTTTGCACAAACCAGTTTCTTCTCATATGTACAAGTGCACACATGCGTCTTTTTCCTCTCAGAGCAGAATGATATATTTATTATAGAAGAGATTGAAGAGGATTTGCTGAGTAAATTTGTTTAGAGGCAGAAACCTTGAGCAAACCTGGCGCTGTAGGTGTGTGTGTGCGTGTGTGTGTGTTTAGAGTTGGCAGTGGCAGTGTCTGATGGTCAGTTAAATATATTAAACAGCCATACAACAATTAATCCATCAACAAATTCTCCAAGCAGCCAGACAGGCTTTCAATAAGTGCCAAGAAAATGGAGTTACCATCGCCCTTGATATGTCCTTGGACAGCCTCTTTTCAGACAGCATCCCAGTCTAATTGATGAGTCAGAGCCCAGACAGACTCTGATTGGCTCAGCGGGAGCTGATGGTTTTATGATGTCACTGTGATGAGTCATCACCACCAGCAATACTGCTGATCTAATTCTTCACAGTGGATCCTGTTCTCTGATCATCTGGCTCTTCCCTGCACTGGAGAGGGAAAAGAGGGGGTGGGGGGGTGGGGGGTGGGCACTGATCGGAAGTCAGCCACTGACGTATGACAACTGTGCACATCACACTGAGCACATCTTTCACAAGCACTACTTTTTAATCAATTACAGTACAAGACCTACTTGAGAAACCTCTCTACTGTTCTTCCTCACCAAGTAAAACAGGATTCCTTTGTTCTTCCTGGACATTTTATGGATTTATTAGATAGTTTACAATCAAGAGAAAACATGAAAAGAAGAGAGAGATGAGAAACAACATGCAACAAAGGTCCTTGGCCAGATTTGGACCTGCGATATTGCAGTTTATGGTCATCGCCTTAAACCCCCAGGCCACTATGGTAGCCCCAGAATTCCCCCTAATTCATGAATCCTTTCCTCTGCTCCCGGTGAACCCCACTGTAGATGAAAACAACTAAATCCACCTCGTTTTCTTTGCCCCTTCATCCTGTGCGACATCAAACCTTGAGGCCACAACCTCAGGGAGAGGTCATTTCTTTTCCTCCTCAGACAGCACTGAATTTCAGTGGATGAGGAGGCTTGGAAAGACTGAAATCTACCTTGTTATAATCTGTCACATCTGTAATGAACTTTTACTGCTTGCACATCTTGTTTTGTTGTAATTAAAATCATGCAGCATCACAAGCATCGTATGTGGAACACCCCAGTAGACACCAACTCTGTCACCGTCTATCACATCAGGCTGAAGAGCAGTTTAAATACCCAGAAGTAATGTTGCATTTAAAAAAAAAAACAAAAAAAAAAACCTGTCTTCCTCCTGTAGCGCAGGATAATTCTGAGACCGCTCCATTACATAGCAGACATGCGGCGATAGGAAGCAATCTCATTAGGCATCTCAGAGAGCGAGGGATGGCAGAACAGGATGCTAAACAGATTAGAATATGAAAAATGAAAATTGAAAAGGGTTAATAAAGTGTGGAACGGGGCATGCACCGACGCTCACTTCTATCCTCTCCAACCTTGGCTCTGAGTGTTTATGTGAGCTGACAGTCTCCTGCGCTCCATGGGAAAAGAGAGAGGGGCAGAGATGGAGAATAATGTTATTACAGTTGCTGCGGCTCAGGTTCTATCTGAGCCTCCTGAGCTACATCGGGCCGCTCGTCATATAAACACTGTTTGTATTGATCCTCCTGTATCTCCTGCGAACATTATCCATGCATAAACAAATCAGAAGCAAAATCAGACTTTCAAAATCATGTTAGGTAGAGCCACTGCTAGAGGGGGTGCTGCGTGTGTGTGAGCTGGTAGAGTGTAAGTGTGGGGATTCAAATGTTAAATATTAGCTTTTGTTGACTGTACTGGATGTGAAAACATAGACACACAAGCCTAAATACAAACCCAGCAGGGAGAACGTGTTTTATTTTTACTTTTTTCATTACCAAAAAAAAAAAAAAAAAAATGCAAGCAGACACCCCTTTAGTCTGAACCAAGAGATGGGCTCATTAGCTGCCACGGCGATGAATAAAAGATGATATGTCTGGAGATGTGGGTACTTCCTAGGGGAGTCGTCTGGGGTCTGAAAGGATGAATACACACTTTAAGACTCCCGTCTCCTCTCAGCTAGTTCAGTAACATGTGGCTGGATGTTAAAGTTTCCTTCTCTCTTTTTTGATACTTCAAATGGACCCTCATGTTTCTCATGTTCTTTTACCAGCTGGTGAAGTCACATAGCTCATGCTGATACTTGTAGCTCGGCGAGGACTTTCATTCATTTTTCATTTATTCACAAACATTCATGGGGCTCCGTTGCTGCCCCAGGCTTTCCCTTTTAAGTCAGTGGAGACAGACCAATTCAAAGCCACTGCAATTCACCATAACACGTTTAAGAGCAATCGTAAATCATAGATATATCACTTATTTACTTCCAGTACCCTTTTATTTGCTCTCTTAATTTACAAAGAGAAAACTTTTTTGCTTTGGGTGTCTTACAGTCTGTACATAATGAGCAATTAAAGCTTTTTCAGGGGAATGTTATATACAGCACAGATCCCCAGACAGTCTGTGTGATGCATAATACATGTCTGTCAGAATCAATTCCTTTATCCTTCACCTAAAAAAGAAAAGACAAAGGAAAGAAAAAGCAAATGAGAGGCGATATTCAGTGTACAGTAGAGGCATAAACTCTTAAAGATGAGACAGTCAGATGAAGAAGGAGGAGAATTTGCATTGTACTTTAAAGCCACAGTTACACCCTTTGAATCGTGGTCACACCTGTGTGGTTTACATCTGAGTTCACTTTATTATGCAGCCTGGTCAGACCAGCACAGAGCTGCCGTCATGAAGGACTGATGTTCATTGAACTAAAACCACCGCTGTTTTTAATTGTTCACTATCCAAATTTTATGATGTGCAGGATTTGTTTGTTGCTTTTAAATAGTGTTTTTGGCTAACAGGCGAACCAATCATTTGGCACCGCAGTAACTGTGCTGATAATGGACTCCTCGATAATAGAGGCCATAATAATCCTGGACCGTCTCATAATATTCTGGGCTATAACAGTCCCCTGAGGTGCGTGCCAGCATCTGCTTATGCAGTGGCCATGGAAACAGGTTTCAGGCCCATTTACCCCTTCACTTACAGTAAATGAATGCATGTACACCCACTCAGTACTCACAGCACATGCTCAAATGCAACTCACAAGAAGAGCTGCATTTGAGCTCTTCTTGTGAGTTGTTTTAGGGTACATATTTCTAAAATGCTTGACCTCTGCAGGGTAGATATGTTGTAGAATAACAAGTGGGCTGACACACAGAGACGTGAAATGGTGCAATTTTAATAACTTTAAAGTTTTAAGTCATTTAATAAGCTAAAATTCCAAACATGAAGGTTTACTACTTCTATTCTTTGTTATTGTTAATTTGGACAAAACAAGCACATTGAAGACATCACCTTTGGCTATGGGAAATTGTAATGTGAATTTTTCACTTTTTTCTAACATTTTGCAGACAAACAATTGAACAATTAATCTGAGAAATGATAATTAGGTTCAAATTTTTCTAACTCTGTCTGAAAATGACCTGAAACCTCATGTCAGCTGTGATTTCCCTCAGCTGCAATTACATTCCTGCACAGAACGAGGACCCTAGATTTTGTCCCCTGTCTCCTCCATCCTAATGGCGTTGAGAACAACTCTCATTATGGCCCGCACGGTCGACCATGATGGTTTCATTGTACATATAGGGATGTAGGTAGATAAATATTTTTTTTTAAACAAGTGAACTCATCCTTTAAAAGATTAATATTAAAAATTAAGAACTACATAAAACATACACAAAAAAACAATAAAATACACACACATCCTTGAGTTCACATCTTTTCTCTAGCTCTGATTTTCACTACTCAACAGATTTTCCGTCCTCTTGCACAGGCACACACTCATCCACACAAACACACCTCAGACCTCAGTGTCTCACTAAAGTCGAAGAAGCCAGGTAGCTTAAGTCCAGCCGGCTGAATCAGCTGAAGTCATAGCAGCCAGACCCAAATGTGCTTTCCTCCTGACCATTTTGCCTTCCTCGTGCACTCAGTCTCAGCGTTCCTTTAGCCTCTGTCTCACCAGGAACCAGTGTGATTGCTGCGTGGTGTGTAAGATTTATGTATAGAGTATCTACCCAGAAGACATGACAGCTCCTGATAGGAATTTCATTAAGAAGGGACATTTCTGGGTCCACGTCTCTGTCTGCGATACACTCCTCTCACCATTTTCCCTGCCTCACACTTATCTGTTGTTCTAGCTTTCATCTCTATCTTATTTTTCTCTCCTTCTTTGCATTTTTCCCAGCTACCGAGGCAGAGAATCAAGTTTTGATATCACTGTGATGAAACAAGTTTTCCATAGAACTTTTTTTTTTCTGTCTCTCTACCTTGTAGATGGTCGCATATAGACAAAATGTACCTTGTATCTTTGTCTCTTCTTCGTCATGTCTGCCCTCTTTCCACTCTTTGTCCTCTCTTAATTACCCTGGATCTGCCTTGTCTTCTTCATGTCTCCATCTCCTCTTCTCCTCTTCCTCTTAGCTTCAGGAACCGGATGCTTGAACATACTAACCTGGGCTCAGTGCACTTGCACACACACACACACACACACACACACATTTATACGCCAACCTTGCTCCCATGGGAGACCCTGCCCGTTTGAGTTATTTCAAAGTTCGTGGTTAAACAAGACAGCCCGAGGAATCTCTCTGTCTCTCTGTTTTCTTTCATGTCCGTACTGCTCAGTGAGCTTTGACTGGGCTGACGGGAACGGGGGAAGCAACCTGGAGACGATTACTAGAAGGTGCAATTGTTGCTGTTTGATTTTCCAGACTGTAGTATTCGCAAACAGCAAACCTGCAGGAGTTTTAAGCTTGACTAGGAGCCCTTCAATTTGAGATTTACAAACAAGACATATTAGAGGTCCTTTAATCAGCTGATATAAGGACTAATATCATGCTTTGAATATTCTTCATGCCCCAGACACAAAAGAATCAAATTGTATGCCTTCCAATGTGAAAAGAGGTGACAAATGTAAGTTAAAAGTGGCAGGTGCGTACAGGATTGGATTACGTTGTGTGCATAATATTGTACTTCTGGACATTGTTGTAACCTCACATAAATGTCTGTCTCTGTGTGTGTGTTACAGACTGAATGTGACCTGGAAAAAGGTTTGGAGATGAGGAAGTGGGTCCTGTCTGGGATCTTGGCCACTGAAGAAACATACCTCAGTCATCTGGAGGCACTGCTGCTGGTGAGAGCACACACACACACACACAATAGATAATATACAGTAGAATCATATTAGGTGTCCCATTCACTCATTTGGTGCCACTAGAGGCATCTGCAAACATAAATGGATCACAGTAACAAGATCCATGAGATGACAGAAATTTGTCAACCTCCAGTGATTTTTGTCATACTGTTAACCTGGGTAACCATTATCCTGAGTCTTATTAGGCCCGTGTGAGCGATCTTTCAAATAAATATCACGTACCATTAAAGAGAGACTATGTAACACTGGCTGAACAGCAGCCGCTATGGCCACAAGTGGAAATAAATGATAATGGCACATTAAATTTCCCTTATTTCCAATGAATTTCTCAAGTCGGTGGCTTTAAAGATGCTCTTATACTTAATATTATACTAACAATGGATTAAATGACCTGGTGTAATATCATAGCAACAGACCCAGAGAGTTATAGCAGAGAATTATCACCCTACTCTGCAGTTCCCTTCATCTCTATGGTGTATATTAGCATCTTTTAGCTAATTATTTTTGTTTCCATGGCTCGCAACTGTACTGTTTGTTGTTGTGTGTCTGCTAGATGTGTACAGATGCAACTGTTTTGCTAACACGTTCACCACAGAACCATTGAATTCACATTAAATCAATGTTAAATTAATGTAACATGCTAAAAATAGTGGCACAACCAGACACTAAACTAACTGTAAGTAAATAGTAAGTAAGTAAGTAAACTTTGGATATACCAAAGTTTGCTAACATTAGCTAACAGTATAGCCACCATTATGCTACTGGTCATACCAGAACAAGTCAGGCTGTGGCAGTAAAGTTGCATGGTGTGTTGCTGTTGCAAGTTTAACTCATAAAACTTGCTAGCTAAACTTTTCACCTGTAAAGAAAAGCTATCTCTCTTTTCAAAAGTTACATAGTCTCTCTTTAAAACATGCAGCCTGTTAGGGCATGTACAAGATGCAGATGTAACCTTGCAAATACTGTAATTCTGTACTTAGATCCTCTGTCAGTCAGAACAGTGTAGTTGTGTACTATAATTTAAAGCATTCACATGTGTCATAAAATTCTCTACATGCCTAAGTACCTCTTATTTGGCAGCTAATGTGTGTTTTTCTTAGTCAGACATGATCAAAAGTACCTGGCTTTACAAATACAGAACAGATTTCGAAGCCTGTAAAAGGGACACATCATTTTTTTTTTCCAATTTACGCATTTCATTAAACGTTGAGTTGACTCAAAGACACACTGCACCGCATGGTTCACTCCTGTCGTCTCCATCGTTTATTCCTCTCAGCCCATGAAGCCTCTAAAGGCTGCAGCTACAACGTCGCAGCCCGTCCTCACTGTGGCCCAGATAGAAACCATCTTCTTCAAAGTGCCTGAGCTCTATGAGATCCACAAGGAGTTCTACGACGGACTTTTGCCCCGCGTTCAGCAGTGGAGCCACCACCAGAGAGTCGGGGACCTCTTTCAGAAACTGGTGAGGAAAAGGAAAGAGATGAGTTGTAATGTTTGTGTGTGTGTATCCATAGCAGTAGAAACATGTAACTGCCTGATGGTAACCCTTATCAGAGTGACAAAACTGGGCACCCAAAAAAAGCTGACAATATTAGAAAGGACATTCTGGGTACTACAGCTACATTTTCTGACTTGTGGACACAGATCCAAAGCAAACCTACTGTGATAGAGTGACATTATTCACAGTAATGTCACTTCTTGAATCAGGAGGCTTTCAGAGGCAGAATCTGCCAGCATAATTCAATAAACCAATAACAAAAATGTAGATTTGATTTTTGCAGTGATGCTCTTCTTTATCATTTCAAATTTGGACAAATTGAATCTGAATTGTCTCTTTCTTCCTATTTCCGCCTCAACAGCCGCTTGCTCACTCTCCCTCTGCCCTCCAGTGGTTTCTGCCAAAGATGTTAGGGCCAAATGTACACTGGGTCTATTTAATCATTTTCACAATGGGTCAATTAACCTACAATGAATCATTTGTATAATTCTCTCTGAAACACTGCTCCTCTCCCACTAGTGTCTCCCTCACTCTCCCCCCTACCTCTCTATCCCTCTCTCTCTCTGTCTCTTTCCCCATCAGATTCACTTGTGCTGGAACACACACACACACACACACACACACACACACACACACACACACACAGAGAGAGGGAGGTGCAGGCGTGTTTCACAATGCCGCCTTTCTGCCTCAGGCAGCTGAGGCCATCACTGCACTGTGTGCTTTGTGTCTCGAAGAAGCTGCTATAAATAGGAGCTTCTCTCTTTTGCTCACTCACTCACTCATTCACTCACTCACTCACTCACTCACTCACTCACTCACTCACACACACACACACACACACACACACACACACACACACACACACACACACACACACACGCTCTCTCTCTCTCTTATTAAATTATCTCAGGAGCCTCCCTTTGGGGCTCACCTAAGAAATGAGGATTTAATTTGTATTTTTTTTCTATCAAGGAGGCACAAACCAAAATTCAGTTTTTATCAAATACTTTGTTTAGCAGCTCGTTTATAGCCCCCCCCCCCCCCCCCACAAAAAAAAGAAACTGCTCCCCGCTCACATTAGCCTTCCATCGAACAACAACCCCACACTCAGCTCCTTCTGATGTGGGTAATAAATAAATACTGAGCAGAGTGATTGTAGAGTGTGAACAGTGTACGAGAGCTATTGTCAGGTGCTAGTGTGACCGTACGTTAACCCATTTTCTTTGTCTGCTCTCAACCATTACGTCAGCCTGACAAAGACAGCTGTTTTTTTTTCACAGTATATTTACACTTTTTCTATCAACTTCAACAATCTGGCTGTCTTTGTTGCTCAAAGCTACACACACACACACACGCACATTCATACTGTACATACACACTAGTATATTCACACACACACACACACACACACACACACACACACACATTGGTTCTGTCCCATTCACTCACTCCAGACAGTAGTTAATAAAAGTCAGGAGGAGAAGACGCTGAGCCTACAAAAAAAAAAGGGAAAATGCTACATGACAGCCGTTCCGTTAGGAGGTGGAGAGGGAGGGAGAAGAGATTAGATGGGAGTAGAGGAGGTGATACAGACAAGGAATGGGGGTGGGGGGGTTTGAGAGAGTCGAATATGGGTAGGCGAGTAGATTTAGGCTGCTGCGACTCTGATAGAGCTGTCTCGCCATGACTCTGAAATCTTTGCGGGGAGCAGACGGGCTTAGGAGTCATAAAACATCAGAACAAGGAAGGCGCGAGACAGAGGGAAAAGAGGAAGAGGCAAAGCGTCAGTGACAGGTTATGAGCATGAGTGTCAGAGAGAAGTGTTTGAAGGCTGAAAATAGGGCTAAATCACACTTGTGCTTCTGCTCCTCATGAACACACTCTTCATACACAGCGGCAAAGGGAAGGTTTTTTTTTTTTTTTTTTTTTTTACCGTGACGACAGACAGGCTGATAAACTGGCTTTGAATGTTGCTCCCGAGAGGAGGAGGAGCACCAAAAGAGCTTGATTCTGTGCATTTATAGACGAAGAAGAAAAACCTCTTGATCCTTCGTTTGGCCTCACGCAGCCAACCTACAGACTGATCAGTGAACACATTTGTAGTGTGTGTGTATATAGTGTATAGTGAGTGTATTCAGCGTGTGTTGGAGGATACGTGACACCTGCTTGTCTGTCCTTCCTTGTTGTAGGGCAAAAAGATGAATAGTTGGATTATCTGAGCAGACTATGCTGTAGGGTCGTGCATCAGGTTCGTCAGATTTCACTGCAATTCTGTAACAAAATGTGTTTTTGACTAAATCCAGAGAGAGACCTGCACCATGCAGATGCCAAGACATGTGACATTTTGTATCAGCAGAACCTGTTTTTAGTTGCTACTCCCAGGGTTTAAGAGTTTAAGGGCTGCAAGTCTTTTTTTTTTTTTTTTTTTAATAAAATCTCAGTGAGTGCTTTCCAGGCAGAAACTTCATAATGACAACCAAGTATGTGAGAATGAATATGTTTTAGCACTCCCTTACAAACCAGGCGGCTAAATCCAGCCTTCTCGTATAAAGGCCATAGTCCGTCATGAGGCTGTTTCCTTAATGTTGTTTTCCACTGTGGATTACACACATAGTCTCGCGCAGGACAAATCCCGAACGGAGAAATCCAAACACCCAAGCAGTTTCTTTTCATCACCCAAAGCCATTTTCTGCTATGATACTGTAACCGCAGCCGAACACTCGGTAAGCCTTCACGCCGTTGTGTGTGGCTCTGTGGAGGTGGCTGGCAGACATTCGGGCTCTCTCTTCTCTCCACAGTCAAACTGTCACGCTCTGAATGGCCTCCGCTGTGGTGCAGATTGTGTGGCCCAGGGCAGGACACAGGATTGCAGGATTGTGAAAATTGCTTTACTCCTCGCCTCCCACCACCTTACTTCTTCCTGGGTTGTGGATGTATGTGCAAAACACAATTCAAAGGTCCATTTTGGAACAGTTTTGTTGCCTGAAATTCATCAGCCAGTATTTTTAAAAACACAGATTCAGGACAGTAATTTGTTACCAAAGGAGCCGCACATTTCCATTGTGCGTTTGTTGTGTTTTTTTTTCCATGATGGATCGTGGTATGTAGTCTCACAGCTGAGGCTACTTTTTGGACTTTTTTCAGATCCATCACACATACACACTGCTAGTATAACTGCCAGCGATGACGTGCAAACGATGTTTAGAAAACTTGTGACTTCACATTCCTGCCTCAACTCCCCCTCCCACTGACGCCGAAGATCAGGTCGGGTCATGAAGGTTCAGGGTCATGCCTAAAAATAGGTTGTAAGAGAATGAACGAGCTCCGTATGAGATAGTTATGGTAACAGTTATTGGCTTACACTTGTAGTACACCACTGCTATTCACGTGATGATGATGATGATAATAATAATAATAATAATCCTTATTTATTGAGCACTCCTCAATAACCATGTTACAAAGTGTTTCACACAAGGCAACAATTTCAATATCAACAACAATAAGAGAGAATAAGAGTGTCTGTTGCACTGGATTACATCAACATTAAGATAAGATGAAACAAAATCCAGTGTAACAAAATGAAATTAAGGACTGCGTATGATTGTCTTGACCGCTCACGCTTGTTTCCCCATTGGACTTTGAGATCTCAGCAATTACTGTGGTGAGTAATGTTATCGTAATAGATACAAATGATGGCCAGAACTACAGGACTCTGGAAAGAACAAAAAGAATTTGAGCTCTACATTGGCTCATATTGGGCTAAAAGGGCTGATGGATAGTTGTAAGTTTGGTCACAATGAGCTTTAAAGGTTCAATGCGCTCATATATTCATTACACTCAGGTGAAAGTTACTGAGGCATTTGCTATTCTTTTCAGAGGTGTGTGTACATTACACACAAAGCCCGTCTCCACTGTACTCTCTCCTCCTTTGGTTTTTGTTCAGGAGAATTGACTGTTCTTTTGTTTGCCGTGGAGATGGATCGCAGCGCTGGCAGGCAGCGTTTGCCGGAGTTTTATTCAGCCGTACAGCTTCCTAAACGTGCTTTCATAGCCTCCGTTACACCAATCATTAATTACTCGCCCCAGCACAGTGCAGGTCTCCCCGGTTGCTGTGGCAACGGGCCTGGCTGCGAGGAGCACCGTGGTAACACGCTGTTGTTGTGACCGTGATCCGTGTCTCTCTGTTGTGCTGGTGGTTTCGTTGAATTGTCTGCAGGTCATTTACAGTCTAAAGCTCTCGTCTCTGTTATGAAATTTCAAGGATGATTCATCTCACTTTTGCAGTTTTCCTGTTTGTTTGTTTTTTTTTAAGTTACACTGAGAAAGTCAAGGTGGACGTCATACTGTCTGTTGTAAAGATTTGTCTATTTGTGATACTACTGTTCCTCACTATTGATCTCCAGCATTGTCACAGTTAAACTCTCCGAAGCTTTGTGTGTGTGTTTCTTTGTTGCGTTTACGTGTCAATAAAGCTTGACAATGCACAAAGATGTGCAGGCTGGTCTCCTTATCACTTGTTTTTAGATATTTTTAGAAAACAATATTTCATATTAAGTTTAGAGCAACGTTAGAGTTGCAGTTGGTGTGTGCAGTGAAGGGATGAAGTGGAGGAAGTAGTGAAGAGGGACCGTGTGTCTGAGTTTCTCGCTGAAAGACCTACTTTCATTGCTTTTAGTGTCTTTACAATGAGCTGTTGTGTCTGAACACGTGGGTAATGCTGTTTGCCGGCTATTTATTCCTCCTACAATATAGAAGCTGACTCTGACTGTAATTAATAGAGTGATGCACAAGTTTGCTGTCAAACTTCTTTGTTTTCTACGTTAACATCGCATCCTTCCCCTCTTTCTTCCTCTTGCTCTCCACCAGGCCAGCCAGCTGGGAGTTTACCGAGCATTTGTGGACAACTACGAGCTGGCTGTGGAGACGGCGGAGAAGTGCTGCCAGGCCAACACACAGTTTGCTGAAATCTCTGAGGTAAGCAGGGGAAGGCGAAAATAACAAATAAGGATACCAAGCAGGGATAGTAGACGAAAAGAGAACAGTTACTGGCTCAGTGTTGTTGCAGTGATTAAATCTGTGATCTCTGAGTTATGGGATCATTTTACCACCGTGTTAAATCAGTCAGTCAGACACTTAACCCCTGCATACCAGCAAATTATCCAATTGAGTTTCACAACTTGTTCTTTTTCCTTTGATGTATGGAGTGATGCTGTGTCTAATTAAGATAAAAGTAAGTCACTGTTTGGTTCAGCATTTATCACAGGAGGAAATTTACACCATCTTTACTCTAAAGTGTTTGTTAAACTCTAGTATTTCTTGCCTATATTCCACAAGATGATTATCTGGTTGGTGATCTTTTGATTTATGCATCGCCAAAGAGATATTAAGTCACCAAGTAATGTAGCTCAGTAGCCCTCTGACGTGGAAGAGGCGGTTCTGCATTTGTAAAGGAAAGGCAGTCGCACAGAAACGACAAAAAAAGATGACTTACTTAACAACACAGTGTTAAATGATGTGTTATTAAGGGAAGGAGCAGTTTCTGAACCCTGTTGTATAGAAAGAGTCTCTTTTACAGCTGCTTTTAGTTTGTACCTGATGTACTGTACTCGCAAAACGCTCTCCCATTATTCACCCACACAGCTTTTATCATTTCCCTGCACTTAAATTTGAATGTTCTGCTGAATATTTCTATACAAAGGCAGCCGGTGTCAATTTTGTGTGTGTGTGTTTGTGTGTGTGCCCATGCGTACAATATTGCTTGTCTGTTGCATATGTTTGTACATCAGTTAAATGGAATAATACAGAGGGCGGTGGCTGGAGTTTTCTGTCGTATTTGGCCCTAAGAGCTCTTATTCTCGTTCTCATGTCTGACCAGAAAAATATGAGCTCAGTATCACCTACACAGACTCTAGATGAGGCTTGACAGCGTAATAAATTCGTAAATTTATCTTTTCCCTAAACACAAGTTTCCAACAGCTGCGATGGCTCAGAACAATATCTTTTATCGTGGACAAACTAGATTTGAAAACACTGACTCTAATGCGTCAAATCTAGTTTTGCAGGCTGATATAACAAAACCACTCCTGGTTTGGGTGAGTAATCTACACTCCCAACTGTGTTACATTCAAATGGTCTAATATGGATTGGGACTGTGGAAGCTCAAACAGTATTACATGCATTTTGGGATTTTTCTGTTCGTCCAGCCGAAAAAATGAGTCCAGATTCAGCCTTAGATTCAGCCTCATTATAACTGTAACACGTTGTGGGAAGTTTATTTGAACTGCAGTTTGTACATTATTTATTAATTAGCTTTAGGTTATTGGGATAAAAATAAAATTCAGTGTTACGCCATGTATATTCAGCAGTCTGGATGGTTTAAGTCTGGGAGCTTCTTGTCCCATTTCTTTCTCTATTTTTTCAAGCATGTGGCAGTTTCTGATCCATCATCAGTCTTCGTCTATGTTTTATGAGGTCTACCAGTTAGCGCTGAGGCTGGTGTCTACATGCAGGATGGGGAATTCATCATCGAGGGTTGTTAATGGTCTAAGTAATGATGCATGACTCTGAGCCATCTGAGAAAGGTGGTGGTGGTGGGGGGGGGGGCTGCTGAGGATGGCATAATTAATTTGGGAGTGGATGACCTCATAGCAAGAGCAAAGATAATAACCTCACTGTGGTTTCCAACCACTTACTGTACTGTAAAGGTCTTTTTTTTTTAGAGGCTCACTGTTTGAACTTGCCTTTTGTCTCCAAACAGAACCTGAAGGTGAGGAGCCCCAGGGACTGTAAGGACCAGACGGCCAAGAACTCGCTAGAGGGTCAGTCACCAAATATTCAAACATAATATTAATTGAAATATTTATGTTTAAGATATTACATTTCAGTCATACAAACAACTCTACAACTTGATTTCTCCTCTTTCTAATCCACAGCTTTACTCTATAAACCAGTGGACAGAGTGACGCGCAGCACATTGGTACTTCATGTAAGTGTGCGGGAGCGCTGACACAGCAATTCTACGTAATATTGTCACTGCAGACTAAAACACGCTATTTTACTGTTTGATGAAAACTCTACGATATATTTGGTCACCATCTCCAAAAACATTTGGGCAAAGAACAATTTCCCGACCTGAGGGTCTTTGAAATAACAACAGTTGCAATGCTGGATCATATTAGATACTGTATGTAACACATTACAGATGTAATCATGGGATGTGTACATATGTTTGTTCACAGTTTCATGTGTTTTGGACTTTAAAGTGACACAGAAATACAGGCTTCGTGTTATTATTCTAACGTCTTGTTTCTCATTTCTCTACCTCCTGTGGGAACTTCTTGTACCACTGCACAGCCAGTTTAGTGTTTTAGCGAAGCTGGCAGCTTAACTTACTGTCTTCATTTTACCATTTATTGCAAGGACTCTCGGTCTAGTTTTTGCATCTATGAAAAAGTAATAACCTATGTTCTGTTTTCAGCGGGGGTGCATTTGAGACATGAACTCTGAGTAAGATGTTGAGTGAACTGTTTGTGCATCAAAGAGCTTAAGTTGGAAAAAAAAAATGAGGAGCATGCTTGAATGACCAATAGTTACATGTACTCTGCTGTAACTTTTCAGTTGCACATCTGTGTGCATACTGTATATATATATATATATATATATATATATATATACCCTGGTATGTGTGCTTTAATATGCTTGCCTTTGACAGTTAATATTTCTTCATCTGCTTCTGTACTGTAGGACTTGCTCAAACACACGCCCACCAGCCACCCGGACCACCCTCTTCTGCAGGATGCCTTGCGGATCTCCCAGAACTTTTTGTCCAGCATCAATGAGGAGACAACGCCCCGACGCCAGTCTATGACGGTCAAGAAGGGAGAGGTGAGTGTTCAGACAGTTTTTTTTGTTATTTGTTGTGTTGCATCTTAAAGTGGTTGTTTTATCTGTGGACACAGGACTTTAGTTTAATATCCATGAAACATGCTATAGAAAAAAAAACATGCCACCTTACATCAGAAAATCAGAACTATTGCTTTAATTAATTTGATCTATCGATCCTGAACATGGTAATACTGCTCGTAAAGACAACAGCAGGAAATAGTTGTGGTATGTTCTCAATGGTCTAATATTACAACACTTATTTTAACCAAAATAAAACACCAAGGTGCTACAAAGTATTTCCTCCACTACAGACAGGTGATGGCAAAGATAATAGTATAACATATATATATGTGTGTGTCAATATGTATATATATATCTATATATATATATATATATATATATATATAGATAGATAGATAGATAGATAGATATGTATATTTGTTGAGCATGATGATGTAATGACCCCTCCCTCTAAATAACCTTGAAGTCACAGTCAAATGAGTGTATGGCTGTAGAGGGGCCACCACCAATCTGAAGCCTAAAGCAGAGCCCATGCCCTTATATGGTCATACCAGGGTTGCGTAGTCGAGGGTGATTCTCTGTTTGCTCTGTGTCTCTCTTGTGGCTTCCCCATCTCTCCATCTCCCCTAACGCAAACACACACACACAACCTACCCCCCACTGTCTCTCCCGCACATGAATGGATGCGTCTTGATTGATAGCTTGCGTGACACTGCCGTACATAATGCCTTGTAATGAGCCACCAGTCCGCTCTGACTGGCAGATTCCCAGTTAATTATTCATAAACGGAGGGCAGGAGCGAGCGAATGAAAAGGCTCTGTCGGCTCCTCCCTCCGCTCACAGGGGGGTCGTTACCGCACCCTCCCATACACACACAAACGCACTCTTTTCCTACTCTCTGTTCCATTCACTCTCTCTCTTTCTCTTGCTCTTGTTTGCCTTTGAACATACGTATATACACACACACACCCAGACACAAAACACACACACACACACACACACACACACTTGCCTGCCATACCTCCCCTTCTATCCCCGCAGGCCCCAGTTCCACCCCAGTCTGGCCAGACCTCCACACCAGCCATCAAATATTTATGATGGATACATGAAAGCAGCACATAGAAATCAATGGGGCTCATTATATTCTACCTTATCATAGACACTGTATATAATATGCCTGAGGTTTTTCTCTGCATTTCACCAACTGAGCTGCAACGTGTTAGACGCTTCAAAAGACTGTCATTACCTGGAGAAGTTGACAAGCTGACGTTTAGCATGCAGTGACGAGGAAGGCGCTTAAATCACTGTTATCACTCCTAGGAGAGAATATCCAGCTGAAATGCTGTTTAATACTTATAATTAAATAAAACAATCAAGTTTTGTGGTTCAAACTACCACGTCAGCACACATTCACCCTTCTGGATTGTCGCTCTGCTGATGTCTGTACACATCACCATCAGCGCAGTTCCAGTAGCTAAACTTTTTCTGTGCCGTCAGGACTCAGGCCTCTTGTAGTACTGATGGTTTAACTTAGTAAAGGAGTTTCCTTCATAATCCTCTGTTCATGTGATGAACGCTTTCAACACAAATTTGATCATGGCAGAATTTGTGTGGGCAAAATTACATTTATTTTAATTGGCTGCACACAGGGCTCGTAGTAGCTGTTCAAACAATCAGAAACACAGAGTCTCTAAACTTTGGCATGGTGTTGAGTTAAATCCACACTAATGATTGTGGAGTATGGGGAACACATCTGCAACATAACAGGGCAGAAACGTTTAAATAGAAGTTCCCTGCAGTAATCGGTAACCTTTTTTCTATTATTCAATAGTTACGATGAGAAGAGGTGAAAACTCCCTGCGTACACACTAGCGAGTAACCCGTGGCTTCCTCAGTGGAGGCATGCAGGAGCAGAGCAGCACAAGTGGCCCCCAGAGGCCCTGGCCCTGCCAGATGATGGGAGGGGACAAACAGAAACTGCTTAATATAAAAGCGAATGATGGCGCTGCCTAAGTCTCAGTTCACCTCCTCACTCTGCTTTGTTTGCCTTTGGGAAAGATACAGTCCTGGTGCGTGTTTGTGTGTGTGTGTGTGTGTGTGTGTGTGTGTGTGTGTGTGTGTGTGTGTGTGTGTGTGTGTGTGTGTATTTCGAGTAGAAATCATCTACACCCCTTTTTTCTGTATGTCTTTCTTTCACTGTGTCATCATGCAAACACATCCCCATACACACCACACAAACACACACACACACACACACACAGCAACAAAACACACAAGCGCAGCGATGCCCCTTCAAGCGTGTATTCTAAATATAAACATGGATCTTTTGTAAATTCATGCCATTACTCGTGCACACGCTCTCAGCGAGGCTCCTCCAGGAGATGGTCAATATTTAATCTGCGTTCTGTGCTGTCAGCGTGCTCTGCCTCGCATCGCTCTCCTTCCTCCACTTTGGTGCTGCTGATGTTCCGGTCAGCTATTTATGAGAAATGGAGAAAGTCACATTTCTCCTACTGGCTTTTCGATATTATGAAAATGTCATCTGATGCGCTGAGACAGCTGGTTTGTTAAGGATGCCTTTTTCCCCCGGTCGCAGAGCAAAGCAGCAGCATAAGCACATTTTAGATTCATCAGATTACTCATTTAGAAAAAAGCCTTAACTGGAATACTGTATGTCTTCATCCAAACATAAAACACTCCACCTTAATTTAAAAAAAAAAAAAAACATTTAGCGAATGCGTCAAACCTTTCATTCAGTACACGATTAATAAACTCCTGTGAACAGCGCTGTTATCTGTTGATAAGTACTCCAGCTTCTGATCCAAAAAAGAACATTCAAAATGTCTTAACTCTGATTGAATCAAGTCTAAACCTCTGCAAAGGGTTTTTGACAAAAGACTTAAACGTGCAGGTTGAACAGATCATTTGTGTCCCTGTGTTGTTGTGTCCTGTCTCCCTTTATCCCTCCACACGATTCCCACTCACTCCCACACAGTTAGATGCCCATAAAATCCCTAATCTAGCTGTTATCCCTCCTTTTATTTTATCTCTTTATCATGGGATCAATAGAGGAGAGGATTACCACTGAGCCTGGATGGGTGGTGTAGTTTCTCAGTGGGTCATTTTTCAAGTCAAGGTCACTTACCTGAACATGAAAACAAATCAAGCAGGTCCTGTGTAACACAAAAAAGCATCATCGACTGACCCTTCATTCTAATCTGTATGAGGAGCCTTCTGTATAATAATCCAACCTAATCTACTGCTGTACCTTCTGTTCAGTAATCCAATCAATAAAATAGTCCAATTTAAGAATTTGCTGCTGACTCATCATGATTGTCACAGGAGATTTTAGCTTGTTGGATAACAATGTCGCTACCAGACATAAGGTTCAAGATTCAAAACTGCACAAACCATCCACAGAAAAGAAAAAAAAAATACTTGAAGAATAATGTCACACTAGATTTTGGAAGGAGTTAAAATAGCTGCACTGGGCTCTGTGGGCTGAAAGGTATACAATAAGTCTCCTGAAACCTCTGACCACACCCCAGCGTCATGGTAAGGTGTGGTCCAATTGTGACCATAACCAGCTGTGATGTGGAGTGATACCGCAGTGCCACGTTACGTCACTGTTAACACAGGCTCACGAAAAAGCATCTTGTCACCACTAGTTGGAGAGGCGAGCCAGATTATTAGACTGGGCTCTTTGAATAGTTAAAAAGAAGTTAGAAGATAAGAGTACAAACAGCAGAAAAAAAGAAAGAAAGAAAGAAAGAAAGAAAGAAAGAAAGAAAGAAAAGTAATATACATATATGAAAATAAATAAACATAAAAATTACAAAAAATTACAACAAAAGTCTGATGTTCAGCAGTAGTGTAGCCGAATGGCTTGCCTCTAGCGCCACCACGAGGCTGACATTTTCATCCACAGTGTCCAGGCGATCAATCCTAATAACTTTGGTGATCATCTGACTTTTCATCTAGCAGCTCCAGCAGGCTAAAGTTTTTATATTCCAGTTTCAAATTTCACTTTCCCAAAACTGTACTTTGGTTTATGATCAAACAACTGGAAAACGAATAACATTCCCATCAGCCGTGTGTTGGCATGCTAATGTTTTAAACTAAGATGGTGAACATGGTTTGTATTATACCTTCTAAATATATTAACATTGTCATTGTGAGCATGTTAGCATGCTGATAGATTCACACAGAGCTGCTAGCATGGCAGTAGACACCTATGTCTCTATATGTGTTTTTTCATTTATTGCTTATGAAAGTTGAATCCCTACATACTGTATTTGTTTTATGAATGCATGTGGATTACATGTCCTTTAAACCTTGAATCTTCATATTGCTGCGCCCAACTGCAACCATGTAGACTTGACTGTGATGTAAAGATCAGTTTGCTGTATACCGATGGTGCATTGGGGCTTTTAACAAGCATGCCTTTCTTCATAGTATCCCCAGTATTCCTCATTCCCACAGTTTAATGTTGTGTCTGAGCAGTATACCAAAACTGAGAGCGGCAGTGTGACTGAGGACACATTCAAACTACTGTACAGTACACATCCTAAATATAGACTGACATGACAGGATGTAGATTGACAGAAGTGAGGCAAGATGGAGCATTGGTTTATATCCTAGTTGGAAGGATATCCTCCATTACATGTGGATTGTGTCGTTCCCATGTCATCTACATCCCAGAACCCAAAGATGGAAACTGAATGCTGAACATGTAAAGAGAATACTTAGCAGAGACTCATTTCAACACATCCTAGTCTGTGCTACAACACAAACCGGATCAAAGAAATTATAGCGGGACCATAGGGAAGAGGAAGGAGTGATTTGAACAAGACAATTCTCTTATGTGGAATTTCATCATCTTGTTGTTTGCGCACTGACAGATGTAGCATCCCATTTGCCACCAGCGACAAATGCCAGACAGAAAGCTGAGAGTTATCTATCACAGGCCGCCATCATGGCAGGTGAATAATTACATCCACCTGTGGGAAATAAATTTCTATTAGATTCTTATTGTGGGGATCAGAATATGATTTTTAGTCAGCTGTAGGCTTTCCTTTCCGTCTGTGTGTGTGTGTGTGTGTGTGTGTGTGTCAGATCACTGCAGAGGAGCTGCTTTAGTGACGTGTCACATGGTTTGGTATCAACACTAAGAAAACTGCAGTATGACTATTGCAGTGGGAGCGACTTTCTCTCTCTCTCTCTCTCTCTCTCTCTCTCTGTGACTTTTTCTTCTCTCTCTCCATTTTCTTTCCTTTCGCTGACACATTCTCTCCGTCAGGCTCTCATTTCTCTGTCTTTCTCACCTTCCCTGCACCCTCTCCGTCATGCACAAACGCTAACACTGTGTGACACAGCATGAGCCTCCTCTCTGCCAGCAGATGTCCAGTCAGGCTTTGTAAGCACACGCACCCTCTCCTACGTTTGCATCAGCTCCACTTCAGTGTGTTCTGGCAGTGACAGTAACTGTGTGTTCATGATGGAGGGGACAGGTGGGGGAGGACACCAAGAGGAAGATAAGGATGTAGGGGTGGCCTGTAGATAAGAAATACAGTTTTCTAGCAGATCTTGGTGAATAAACCTACTTTCCGATTTGTTTGGCTGGGAGAGCAGCAGCAGATGGACTGTAAAATCCTTTATCTCTGCACATTGTTAATGTTATAGTGTTGTTAGCTAGCAAGGCTCACTCTTTAACGTTAAGATAAACTTTGTTAAATTCATCTGCATGAAACTTAGAGAATAAACCAAATCAGGGGAAACTTGAAAAATAAAGCTCATCTTTGACCGCTGAAAACAGATTTGTTCATACAATTATATAATTTGTTATATAATTTGGGCCCCTCGTTACTAGACCCTACCCGCTGAGTACAGATACAGAATTTATCCAAGACGGGTTGTGTCAAGTGAGACTGGACTTGGTTGTAGATACTTGAATCCGTCACCAAGAGGCTTCTTCAGCTCTGACTGACTGGTGGGGAGTCCCAGGTATTTAACCTCTGTGGGGTCATTATCGGGACCATTGTTTGAGTGGGCTCCGAAGACTGTTTTTGCAACCTCCCTCCCATCAGTTAGTCAGAACTGAAGAAGCCTCTTGGACGAGAGCACCAAGCACCTACAACCATGTCCAGTTACCCTCAGTCCAAACTTCTTGGATAACCAAGACCTGAATGACAGGGAATCCTCACAGACAACTACAGAATTTCATTTTATGCTCTTATACTTAACAACCAACCGTTCATACCTGTCTCATCCATACCACCAGTAAAACCAGGGGCATGAGCATGTAAATGAACCATTAACTATTAAGTTGTGGTTTAACATTTGTCTTCTCACTGTGTCTGTTCCAAGTCCATTCTTTGAAATGTGTTTTCTGCTTTGGAAAATGACATCACTGCCCCCTTTTGGCAAATTGCAGTATTACACATCTCATTACATAGTCTGACGTCAGTAATCAGTCCCAGGGTTCCAAACATCACTCTTCCTTTTCCCCCCATCACCGGGACATTGATGATAACACCAGAATATAACAAAATAATCTATCAGTTTGATCAACGTTATTCAACGCTAAACCCTGCAAACCTTTTGGGTAATAATTTGGTTATCATTCAATAAACATTAGTAGGTTGCACATGAGCTTTGTCTCTGACAGTTGAGTTTCTGATGATGGTGCAGCAAGTAAAGCTAAACTCCAGCCTCCTTGTCTGCCTCCTCTCCTCTACACTGTTCTTTGCCTCAATGTCTCCTCCAAGTTTCACACTGTTAGAACAGGATTGGGAATCTGGGAGGAGAGGAGGAGGGGTAAAGCTTTTGGATGCGGCGCAAACACAAAGACTCTGCGAACTGACTGTGTCCTGTCCACAGAATATAACAGACTTGTTACTGTGACTCATAAAAATGTCTCATCGCTGATATTATATGCTGTTTTTCCTCACTGTAGAGAGTAAGCTTTTTTTTTTTTTTTTTGCCAACTGTTATGATATTAACACCAAAAGGTTTTTGTTACTGACCCACCACTGTTGTCTGATGTCTGTTGTCTGTTGTCTGTTGTCTGTTGTCTGTTGTCTGTTGTCTGTTGTCACCACAGAACCGGCAGCTGCTGAAGGACAGTTTCATGGTGGAGTTGGTGGAGGGAGCCAGGAAGCTGCGACATGTCTTCCTCTTCACAGATCTGCTGCTCTGCGCCAAACTGAAAAAGCAGATTGGAGGGTAAGAAACATGACGGGTTTCGTGTCTTGCTCTCTGGGAGCTAGAGTGACTCCAACTGCAAAATACAGCAAAATCTTTAATCTTATGTGATAACAGTTTGAAATGAATGCTACTGAAACATGTATGTCTTCAGTTGAAACCCCAATTCACAGTTCAGAATTATATCTCTTAGACCTGAAATGACCAAAAATGTTTGTAAAAATAATTAAGTAACTAAAGTAGAATACAAACCATAATGAATGATTATCAAAGACCCTCTGATACAGCACAATGGCAGTATCAGTTTTCAAGTTTAAGACATTAAAGTTCACACAACAGAGAGCTCTGCTGCTTTAAGTCCATTTCACTGATCTTGGAGGCAGTTAAGGTACAGAACAAAATATCAGACAAGAAGCAATCTTGAAAGCACTAGAATGAGTCATCACCACATATTTGACATCTATAAGAGAATCCTCATCAAAATATTACAATTTGTAAAACTCATTGTCATTCAAAGTAGGATTTTCCTCAAGATGACAGCCAAGAATTATTGCCCAATTTTCTCACTTGACTCTCTCTTGTTTTTTCTTCTCTTCACGCTGCCTCCTCTGTCAACTCATCCCCATTTTTATCCATCATCATCAACCCGCTCCTCCTGTCATACCTCCCTCACATCCCTCTTTTTCCACTCTACCTTTCACCATCCATCCCCTGTCATTTTCCCCCTTCCTCCTGCCACTGCAGAAAAAACCAGCAGTACGACAGTAAGTGGTACATCCCCCTGACTGAACTGACCTTCCAGGGCCCCGAGGAGACCGAACCACTTACCATCCCCCAGGTCCCCGATGAAGAGCTCGACGCCATGAAGGTCAAAATCTCACACCTCCGCAGTGAGATTCAGAGAGAGAAGGTAGCGCTCATACGCACTCGTGCACGGATGCCTTGTTTGATTCTCTCACTTTAATTGAAACTCAAAAATGGTTCGTTAATTGTCAGGTTCTCACACCACAGCAGGGATTCATATCAAGGTACACGCACCAATTGTTTTCCCCTCTTTGATTTCAGAGAGCCAACAAGGGTTCAAAAGTCATCGACCGTCTCAGGAAGAAGCTGTCCGAACAGGAGTCTCTCCTCCTGTTAACATCTCCGAGTATGCCCCTCCGAGTCTACAACAAGAACGGCAAGGTGGTGACGCTCTCCATCTTAAACCGCCCCTGTTTCCTCATTCTCCTTTTTTCATCGTCATGTCTGCCCCATCATCCTTCTCCTGCCCTTTGTACGCTCCTCTCCATATTTCATCTGTTCTTTTCATTTTACTGCTTTTTTTTTGTCATCCTCCACTTCATTACCAGCACAATATTCCCTCGCTGATCTTCCTTAAGATTAATTCTCCTTAATCTGTCTTCTACTCAGACTTTATGTATGAGTACTGAGCTGTTGCTTTATGAAATCCTACATCTGTTTAAGCTGTCTGAATGAGATCGTAAAACTGCAGCATTTTAAATTTGGAGTTTGTATTTTTGCACAGATAATGTGCAGATGTGTCCTCTTAATGTTTCATTCTGCTTCAGAAATAACAGCCTTTTTTTTCTGTGGGTTCATATTTCAGAGTTACGGTTTCCTGATTTCTTCTGACTATGAACGTGCAGAGTGGAAGGAGATCATCAAAGAACAGCAGAAGAAATGTAAGTGTCCCAGAAATGTCATGTTGAACAATGTTCAATGTGAAAAAATATATCTTAGGTGCTTGACACATTTTAAAACAAAATCTAGATACATGTACGTTAGAAACTTCTACTCCAAGAACCTTGTAATGGAGAAACAGACACCAAAGTTTTGGCCTCAGGAAAACACAGAGAAAACTCCAATAAGATACATGCTCTTTGTGATCTACGATGTCATTTACCGTCTAAATTTATTGTCTCCCCTCAAGGCTTTAAAACATCCTCCTTGACTTCCATGGAGTTGCAAATGTTAACCAGCTCCTGTGTCAAACTGCAGACCGTCCACCACATTCCACTCAGCATCAATAAAGAAGGTAAGGTGTAAAGTTTTGTGTTTGAAAGTTTTTTTCCGAAATATAGTTCTTCCTAAAAGTTGTCACGATAGCATTTAGTGTGTTTGGATGTTGGATTTAGTAGAAATTCCACAGGAACATTAGAAGTGTGTTTGTGTTTTCATGGTTGTATGGCATCCCTGTTGTTAATCAAACATTGTCAAAAAAAAAAAATTGCTCTGGAAAGAAATGATAATGATAAATCATTGTGGGTAAAATGAGGATGAAAAGTACAAAGGGATTTAAGCCACATTTTATTCTGTACAGTGCAGTTTTATTGCTTCCTTCCATGTCTCATTCTGCTCCAAAACAAACAGAGATCTGCATGCTTTTCTAATCCCTCCTCACTGTCTTTTTTTTTCTTTTCATTTTTTTCTTTCTCGCTCTCTACTCGCTGACTGTTTTTCCAGAGGATGAATCCCCCGGTCTCTGTGGGTTCTTGAATGTAATCGTCCACTCCGCCTCCGGCCTCAAACAGAGCTTGAGTGAGTCATTCACCTTTAGCCTTCATGCAAACAACAGAAAATGCAGATCAAATCAGACAAAATGAGTTCCTGAGAGAGAAAGAGAGAGAGAGCTCAACTTTAATGTGACCATGGAGTTTTCTTTCTGGTGGAAACTTTTGGAATTTCCGTGTTTCCTGTCAAATTTACTTTCATTTTAGGTTCGACTTTCAAGTTTCACCGCTTGAATAACTGGTTGATTTGTAGGACTTCACAAGTATGTCTTTAGCTGCTGGTTTGGTATATTTGCTGGATTGTATATATCTAATGAATGGACATACATGTTTGAAAGAATGAATGACTCATTCCTAATTTGCTGATCTAGTTCTGGGGATAACATTGAGCATTCAGCCAGTTCAGTTGCAAATGTAATGCATTCACAAAGAACATTTCAGTAGCCATATCAATGTTTTATCTTTTCAATCCTCTCCTCTCTGTCAGATCTCTACTGCACATTGGAGGTGGATTCTTTTGGCTTCTTTTCAAATAAAGCCAAGACGAGAGTGTATCGATACACCACTGAACCCAAGTGGAATGAGGTAGGAGACTGGTTTTTAATATACGCATGCAACTCTACATATTCCCAGTTGGGATGAAAAGGAGTTTTGGTGCAGTTTATGCTGCCTGTCATGTATCTGACATCTGGTCCTGTAATCAGTTAGCTGTCCATCTCTGAGTAATGACAAGATGTCTAACAGAACACACACCGAGCATCTGCAGCCCCTGCAAACATATATCAAACACACACACATACACACACATACACATGCATACCGCATACGCATGCAAGCACGCGAACATGTATGCATTAATGACACAGCTGGATATGTGAGGTTAGCACTACAGAGGAACAAGAAGCTTTGAGACACAGTCAGTGGACGGGTTCATCTGCAGCACAGTGTGACCCAAAGACTCTTTGAGGATTTTGCTCAGCAAAGTGGAAATAATATCAGCTAATGAGGAGCTGCTGGTGATGACTCACATCTGTCCAAATGCTAAGTGAACCAACACAGTGTGGGCCTCAGAACGATGTGCAAACCATATGCAGAGAGCTCCCTTACATAATTACAGGGAATGTTGGTGTACTGTGCTCCTGTGGTGGGATGTATGGATTAAAATATACTGGCGTTTCTGGAGGTATAATCTCTTGTTTGTCATTATCTTTGTCATTCCTGTTGTTATTCCTGTCTCCGCGCTTGTCTTTTTTTTTTTTCTTTTTTTTTTGCAAATGAATCTCCTCACAACAGATGTTTTTTTTTTTTTTTTCTTCTTTTTTTTTCTTCCCCTCAGGAGTTTGAGATTGAGCTGGAGGGCTCTCAGACCCTGAGGCTGCTCTGTTACGAGAAGTGTTACAACAAGACCAAGCAGAACAAAGAGGATGGAGAGAGCACAGACCGCATCATGGGGAAAGGACAGATCCCGGTATGACATGACGTCACCACCACCACCACCAACACCCCCCACACACACCCCCACCCCCTCACTTCTCCATTCAGCAGACATACTATGATTCATTGGTGATAGGCAGTTATGTCACCACCACTGCCACAAAACATGAAATGCATGTTATTGCTCAGTGAATGACTGAGTGTGCATCATGTAGCAATTGGCTGATTAGATTAATTACCCTAATATATAATGGTGAGCTAGGGGTTGGTTAAATGGAGAAAAACATCTGTTCAGTGCCCGTCAGTGAGTGTAATTTCTCCTGCTCAGTTAAGATTTACACACTGAAGCGAGGGAATGTTCCGCAGTTTTTTGTTTTTTTTTTGATAGACTGACACAAAGCTTTACTTTTCATGCCACTGATCCATCGTTTCGCTGCCAGGTTTTAGGTGGTTAAAACATTCATCACAGTCCAGGGTCTGTAATGGGTATTGAGCAACAGCGATGCCATCCTGCACAGGTGGAAGATACATCAATACTGTCAAGTGTTCTGTCCATAAAAATGTCAAAATTCTGGTTACACTCCCAAAAACAAAACAAACACAGACACTGTCCAGAGGAGTCTGGCCATGGGATTGACAGATTGCGTGTTGATAGCAAATTTAGATAGCAGGTGATTAGGTTGCCAAGATGACGCCAGCCTGCAGGATAATGCCAAGTGTCACTCAGGAGAAAGACAAAAATGCTGCAGGCAGAGACAGAAAGATTTAGCCTGAAATACGAGTCTCTGCTTTGATCCTCAGCCACCAAAAACATCCTTTTCTTGCTCCTGCAACCCCCAGCATGGCAGGTGTGTGTGTGTGTGTGTGTGTGTGTGTGTGTGTGTGTGTGTGTGTGTGTGTGTGTGTGCGCACATGTGATATGGACACTGCTGTAAGCTTCTTTCGCTTTACACCCACAAAAACCCACAAACCGATCTCCTCTTAGCATCTGAGACACATGAAATAACCTATTTTCTTGTGCCTGCACTGTTTTAAATGAGTTTCAATGAATGGCTCATTGAGAACAATGGTGTAACAGTATCTGCATGTTGTGTCACACTGTATGCACACTAAATTCATAACAGCAGTCTTCAGTTTGTCCAGTCTGTATCCTGAACACTTTGTTCAAATTGGAGCAGACAATCTACACTTGGACAAGTCTCCTCAAGCTGCTCATTGTCTGCCAGACTGTGAGTTACGGTCACATGCTCCACCTAGTGGTTCCTCTGGTAATCCTGTGACAATGATCACCTCCTGGCAGATGATGTCATTCCAGACAAACCACCCGGAGTGGTGAGAAAGTTGTTGAGCAGGATTTTCATAAATCCAAGGCAAGAAACAGCCGCTCCTGTCTTCAGCAGAAGCCACAGTGGCTGATAAATCCCACATTTTACCATCTAGTTTTACTGTTTTACCACTGCCACATTGTTAACGGCTCAAACTTAATACATGAGTGTATTGTAATCCTTGCTTTATATGAAACGCCCCCCCCCGTATGACTAAGAGTGTACGCAACAATTGAATGCGAAATTATTTTTAATAGTATTATAATCTTATAACAATGAAAGCAGTAAAATTTAACAATCTTTTTTACATTGTTTCGGACCCTTTGTTTCTTAAATTTCACATTCCTCTTAGGTGTAGGCCTGTCTCCATCTTGATGTGCTGTGTTGTAAACGCTCCCTGCTCGTACGTTTGGCTTCGTTTCAGCATTTAATGGGGTTTAGGTTTCACAGATCTGTGATTTATTGGTAAATAATATGTGGTTAAACAGCACTGGGCTGAGGGCTGGAGGAGATAAAATCATGTTTGTTTGGCCAAAAACTTGAGCTCTTCAAACATTTTTATCGGGAAGCAAGAGGAGCTCTCTCGGCCTTGCTGTTTTTTAGTGGAATGTAATTCTGTGTCGATAAATGGCTCAAACCAAAGAGCGCTCTCACCAGTGAAAGATTCAGTTATGAGAAACATGATCCAGCTTCGCACGCAACCAGATGGGGCTTAGCCTAGGTAAACATACAACGTGAAGTATACTGTGTGTGTGTTTGTGTGTCTGTGTCTGTGTCTGTGTCTGTCTGTGTGTGTGTGTGTGCGTGCATGCGTGTTTGTGTGTCTGTGTGTGTGTGTGTGTGTGTGTCTGTGTGTGTGTGTGTATGTGTGTTTGTTTGCTTCGTTATGTCAGATGTGTGTATGTGTGTGTGTCTGTACCCAGCTTTTATTGCCCCAGATGGCTTGTCTCTGTAGATTTGAGTGTGAACTTACTCTCTTTAAACAAATAATATTTTTTTTTAAAAAAACAGTAAAGGGAAGTTACTCAACAGTAAAACACCTTTGAAAACATTCCACTATAACAGAGGGAAGATTTGATGCAGTTATAACTTAATGCACTGCTATTCTGACATAAGAGAGCGGTACATAAATAAGGCAACAGTATGTGAAGATAACTAAGCAAATAAACATTCGAAAAAATAATGTAGCCGTAGTGGTTGATTAGATAACCTGCTAACTAACAAACAGATGAATAAACGAACAGGAAATAAAACATAATCTTGATGAAGATGAGCAACACACTTGTCCCCCAGCATGATCTTAGATCATTTGAACAGTTTACTAATCGTGATCTTATTGGATCAACAGCTGTTTGAATGTGACCTATTATCCCCAGCATCATGGTGTGGATGTGATGAAATATATTTATAGTTATAATTAAATAACGTATATTGTCCTTTTGTGTTGCCTCCACTAAGCTTGACCCGCAGACTCTCCAAGGCAAAGACTGGCAGAGAACAGTCATTCCCATGAACGGGGTGAGTCCATCACATTAATCAGACCTTTTCCACCACATTGCTGCATTTTCTACTTTTGTACCATGTCCAGCGGTTAAATACTCAAATAATGTGTCACTATTTGCTCCAGTACAGCCTTATATTCATATTATAGCAGCACATAGCAGTGAGGAATATACTAAACCATTTCCAGGATGTGGTTTAGTAGTTTATTTCTGTGAAGTCTACACCTGGTTTGAACATTTGAGGATTTCCTCAAGATCGTGGAAAGCTGTAGCAGATGGATTTTAGGCTTGTAGACTGGACTCACACTGTAAACCTGTTTTAACTCTAAGCCCTTTTTTCCCGTGTCAGATTGAGGTTAAACTCTCCATGAAGTTCACCAGCCGAGAGTTCAGCCTGAAGAGGATGCCCTCGCGGAAACCTATGGGTGTGTTTGGAGTCAAGATCTCCACAGTGACCAAGTGAGTTGACATTTAAATAGACAGAAGCCACTCAATTACAGACTAATTATCTCGCCACCTCTACTGTTTACCTCCAAACTGTTGTCCTTACTTCTATCAGGAGTCATGGGCGCATACATATTCTTCAGTGCCCTTCCTAGGGTCCCTATTTTAGGCCTCCTTTTCTTTTATGCTCGTTATCTTTTTGTTTCTTTCCTCATATCCCAGTGTTATGCTGATGGTGCAGTTTGTCATGTCTTTTACTGTACTTTGTTTGCCTAGCTGACATCTCCAGTTGGATGGATGATTGTCCTTCACCAGGACTGTGGCTCTTTATAAGAAACAAATTGTTACTCTCTCAGCAGCATTGAAAAAATCCACATTATCCTCTGTACAGACTGCCAAGTGTCTCTGAGTCTTATCCTTAACTGTAGCTTGCTCTTCCTCATGCTAACATACTGACTTTTAGCAGGTATAAAACATAATATGTAGATTGATTTTCTGTCCTCCAGACTCCCTTTTATTTCCTGAGAAATAAAAATCAATTTTCAGAGACTATGCACTTAAATGTTTGTTTATCGTGAACACTTAGTCGCTTTAATTTCTTTGGTTGAAGGAAGTAGAAAAAAAGGAGGAGGCAGACAGAAGGGAAAGGGGGAGAAAGCATGTAGGCCTCGTGGAAGCATCAATGTTTCGCTTGTTTGCTGTTGTTGCTGATCACTGACATTACTGAGGATTAAAGATAACAAGTGGGTTAACTAGATTTACCAGACAAAATCAATTAGCGTTGTAGATTTAAAAAAAAACATTTCAACAGAAACACAAGCAAAGAGCCAGAGGCATTACGAGGCCTTCCAGTAATCACAGCAGTGCAAAAGCTATTTCTCCTGCATTTTGCCCTTTTTGTCACAATAAACAAGACATTTTGTGCCTCATCATTGATTTCAGTATTGATGCTAGTAAATGTTTTACATAATATAAAAGGCTTGCTTGTGGTCATTGACATTTGTGTTTCTCTCTCTGTAGGCGAGAGCGCTCCAAGGTTCCCTACATTGTCCGGCAGTGCCTAGAGGAGATTGAAAGGAGGGGTATGGAGGAGGTGGGCATCTACCGAGTGTCAGGGGTGGCCACTGATATTCAGGCCCTGAAGACGGCCTTTGATACCAGTGAGTACAGCCTTTGTTCATGTACAGTGCATCCTCTGCGCAGGTTTTATGTAATAAAGCCTTTAAAATAAAATCTGTCATGTTGTAGAAGTTGCCCATATTTCTGTTAAAATCCAGTTTCATTCTCCATGGAGCAGTTCCAGTTTTAATCCCCTTGTACCCTTTGTATACCCAGGAAGTATCTTGATGGAATTCTAAAAGAACTTTACATCTGATAGATTGATAGGTGATAGCACTAAAAGATTCAATTGCTTTAGCATATGTGCGGTATTTACAATTTATACAACTACATATTGTGGTTATAATACTGCAACTGCCATGCATTTCTAGGGAAGACAGCTGACCATCGCTGTGAGGAAATCCTTTTTCTAATCGTTCTATCTCTATTGATCAGCTGATCATTATCGTAGCTCTGAGAGTTTGTCACAATGAGGCATTTTCTCCGGTGTGAAATGATTAACAGGGTTTATAGACTAACACATTCATTAACTTGCATTTGCATTATATGTGGCTGTATGTGCAAATGAATGTACAGTATCTTTTGTGTAGTGGGTGAGATCTCCTTCTGATGTGACACTGACAGTAACAGGGCGACTGCCTGCTTGTGCCGAGGTGTTTCCCTGCCTTGTCACTTCTCTTTGTCGTCGCTCACCCTCCTGACTTCATGTTGTTGCCGTCTCCTTCTCCTGCAGATAATAAAGATGTGTCAGTGATGATGAGTGAGATGGACGTCAATGCCATCGCCGGGACCTTGAAGCTGTACTTCAGAGAGCTGCCAGAACCTCTTTTCACTGATGAGCTCTATCCCAACTTTGCAGGCGGCATCAGTAAGTCAATGGGCTGTTGACATAATCGATAATCGACACACAGCTTTGTTATTAGTTAAATAAACAATCAACAATCAATCACTAATCATTAGAGTGGTTGTATATATAAAAACCCCTTTATTTTCCTCCCTTCAGCTCTGTCTGATAGTGTGGCCAAAGAGAGCTGCATGTTGAACTTACTGCTGTCGCTGCCAGAACCCAACCTGGTCACATTCCTTTTCCTTTTGGATCACCTGAAGAGGTATGAACAACTTAATACACATGTGCTTGTGTAATATGAAGACATGAATGTGCAAATACACACACACACACACAGAGACAGGAATGCGGATACATGCAAAACAAAAAGAAAAAAGCCGTACAGGAAGTGCATTTAATGACAGTCACACAAAATGGATACGTTAAGATCCCAGAACGATTTTAATTTGATTTAAGACTGGTTCTTATAATGTTAAAAACTTACAATTTTGCCCAGTTTATCTCAGTGTCACTTCAGGACGACGCACTGTTTTCAAGGTGGTGTAAGGTAGTGTGCAGTGTTCATCTCAGTGGCTTGCCTCACTGGTGCTGGTCTTATACTATTACAGCAAAAGCAGTCACTGTTGTGTTATGTCATTCAACTGCAACAGCAAAATGTCTTCTGGTTACCATGGTGACTTCGAATGACAAAAGGCTCCAACGTTATGTGAGCACCAACAATGCTCACATCTGTTTAAAAGCATTGCACGAGTATGTGATGGATGGTGCAAGGATATAGCTCGATTATCAAGAGCATTGGAAAATGTTAAGTCATAATAAGGAAACAATTTCTCACTCACTGTTACATTAAATGTAGTATTAAATGGTGAATGTTGTCCATCACAATGTCCCAGAACCCAAGATCAAGCCTTTGAATACTTTGTTTTTTCCAACCAACAGTTCGATATAAAAATAGATTTGCTTTTCAATTATATAAAGCAAAGAAAAGCAGAAAATCCTGATATTGGCGAAAGCATTAAGTAGCAAATGTTTGGCATTTTCAGTTATGAAATAACTGAAATGATCAATGGATAAAAACATTGTTTGATTTTCTGTCTAGACACTAATGAAGGTTGGGAAATTAATAGTTTTTCAGGAATTCAAAACAGGAAGCTCTGACTGCTGTCACCTGCATTGTCCCCAAAATGTCAATGTGAAAATAAGCCAGGCCTGATGTACTGTCAACAGAATGAGACTGAATCCTACCTAGAGTGGACAACTGTCCTTTTCTGTCCTAGAAACGTTCTTCTGCAGGAATTAGGACATTTAGCATCTCTGATATTCACATAATTTCATACTCAAAACACAACTCCATCACTGCACATTAACATCAGCTGCATCGGGTCTTGTCCTCTATATACATCACTTATGGACCTCCTCTTCCTCTCCCCAGGGTGGCAGAGAAGGAAAGTGTCAACAAGATGTCTCTCCACAACCTGGCAACGGTGTTCGGGCCGACTTTGCTCAGGCCCGCCGAGAAGGACAGCAAGATCCCCACTAACCCCACGCAACCCATCAGCATGGGGGACAGCTGGTCCCTGGAAGTTATGGCACAGGTGAGGCCCACAGATCATCTTCCGTCTGTTCCCTCTGGCAATTTTTTTTCTTTGATTTTGCAAAAAAATTTCCTGAAAATTGTAAACGTGAAGAACGAAAACATAATTTTTATTTAGCAAATTTGTCATTACCCTCAACCACCCACCCACCCTTTCTTTTTTTATGCCCTTGCAGGTCCAGGTGCTGCTGTATTTCCTCCAGCTGGAGACCATCCCCACCCCGGACAGTAAACGACAGAGCATCCTCTTCTCCACTGAAGTATAGAGCTAACGTCTACCTGACACTTTGACCGTAAGGGAGTGAAAAAGAGACGGACCTTGGCTCAAAGTGAGCCTGTAGTAGTATGTCTTTGAACTGAATGACCGAACTCCGTTAGGCTCTTGCAGCTGGTTAAGGATTGTCTCTGGCGATGTCCGCCCTGCCTCACAAGAGGGCGCCATAGGGCCTCTGAAGGTCAGAGGATGTGAGGTCCTCTGCATTCATACCGCTCATATTAAGTACGATTCCTTGTACCTTCATTGATGTTGTGGGTACATCTGCCATCTACATTTCTCCAGCCTGCCCTTTGTTGGTCTTTACATTGAACCTTTACAGCTTGTAGAAAGTTGTGGTTCCTAAGTCAAGAAGCTGAAGAGAATGAAACATGTCTTTCTTGATTCATGGAATTAGCTTGCCAACAAATCACAATTTCCATGTATCTTTGTGTTCGGGCATTGTTCTCTATTTGTGTGGGCTTTTTTTTTTTTTTTTTTTTTTTTTGGGACAATCATCAAGTCGAGACTCTTGCAAAATATGCTTATCCATGTCAAACATTACTACATGTCTGGTTGAGGAAAATTCAAATTGTGTCTTACATAATCTCAGTGCATTGTTTCTGAGAAGACGAGAGGAGACATTTGTGCTGTTTGTTGGAGTTTAAAGTGTACATCCAGAGCTGCCACCTTACTGGATTTTTTTTTTCTTTGTGTTACAAAAACCCGCGGGAAGCAAAACTCCTATAAGTTCAGATGTTTACAACGTAAACAAAACCCGGTTGGAGTCAGAGACAAACTCTACGGCATGAAGAAGGACTGTAAGAAAAAAGAAAAAAAGGAACCCGATGATTAGAAATACACTGCGATCCGACTGCCTGCAGTTTATCTAACTACAAAAGAAAATTTCCTCTATTTGTGTTGTTTGTGTCTCATGGTAGTCTTCAGCATAAATACCCAGGAAGCAATATATTTTCTAACATAGGAGTTGTCTGTGTTCATATCTTTGCTGACGAAATGTCCTTCTTATTGTAACATAGGACATCTTGCCAAATTAATATGTTGTTTGTTTGTTTGTTTCTAGGAAAAAAGGAAGCAGTTGTATTTACAGATACAGTATGTACATAATCTTAAAGTTGTATTTTTTTTCTTTTTCTTTAACAGTATAATCATTGTTGCTATTACTGTAATTTATTTTCGGGCTGGGGGATAAATTGGTTTGTTTTTTATGTGAATTTCTTGGGTTTAAGAAAGTGGTAGGTCTTAGCCTTGACTTCAAGTCTTGCAGTAAATAAGCAGGATTTAGCCTTGATCTTCTAGAAACTACTCAGCTGTTCTGTCCAGCCTATCAATTACTCATTTAGATATTATTAATGAAGGTAACACACACATTGTAGTTACATACTGTATGCTGCTGTGGAAAAGGCACAAGCTCTTTAACTGCTGGGTGTTCCTCAGCAGAACGTCTCGCATCCAGAGACCATCGCCTGTCTAGTGTAGACATTATGCAATGTCATAATACAGCACGTACTCACACACACACACACACACACACACACACACACACACACACACACACACACACACACACACACACACATACACACACACACATATGGCGTTGTCTCCTCTAATCTGTGGCTGCAGAAGTGCACTCATGCAATGTTAGAACTACTGTATTACAATTCAAGTGACCTGAGCACTCGGCATTTATGTCCATTGAAGAGCATATCTGTTGGTTTAATGAAGGAATCTTATTTAGTTTCATCTTCTCCTGATGTCTTTTTTTTATTTCTCTCTAATGTCCTACTAATTCTTCGTCCCTTTAACTGTTGATAAGCCTGAAGGTGTTCCAGCTCAATGGCCAAGTTAAAGAAAAGGTTTTTTTTTTTGGTTTTTTTTGGTACCTAAATGACAAATTTCTAAGTTTAATCTCTGTGTCCTTGATTTAACATGCAGGCATGTTTTTATTTGGCATTAGTTTTTTCTTTGTGTTCTCGTTATTTCTGTTCTGTTTGCAAAGGTGTCATCACAGACTTGGCTTTGGGATGCTGGTAACGCATGACGATCTGGTTTATGTTAGTACAATCGTTCACGGGCCCATTTAAGTATTAATGTCATGGTTGGTTTCCCATAGACTTTATATCAAAGTCTTAAAACTTAAAGCAGTTGATGAGTTGAATGGATCTGAGAAGGGCTTGTAAGATATCACAGGAAGGCGTATGTGAGTAAGTGTTATTAGTAACAAATTTTCAGTTTTTTACATGAATGTCTTTAGACTTTTAATGGCAAGAGGAATCTTTCCCTTTGGATACATATCAACGCCCGTCAAGAAACCCAAACAAGAATTTGATGCTCAAAAGATGTTTTGTGTTGCCTGACGTCAACTTGGTCTATAGATTTTAGATGAAACACCACAATTGACTCATTCCAATGAACAATACTGTCGAGATTTTATTCTGAAAGTGTTCATGCCTTCAGTTCCAACACGGTTTTGTGTGTGTTTTTTACTGCCATTGTGTACTTCCACTATCTTTGGCCTATGTAGCATGCTCACAGTCTTTCATCGACTATAATTCAGGATGTGAGACAGAGAATGAAACCACGGTTCATGAATTCCTTCATTTGTGCATCACCTTTAGAAAAAGTCCTGATTGCCTACACTACTCTACCCTATCGTGCCTCGACACTGTTCCTTTGGTTTAGCGCCTGTGGTAAATGTCAGTGAAAAAAGAAATGAATAAAAGAAACGCTGATGCTGGAGATGTTCTTGAGTCTCCTGTTGCCTTTGCTGAGGACAGCCACACACCTTTCATCTCTTAAAGACTAAGACAGGACCTTAAACTTAAGCATGGTCTTAGCTCCTATTGGAACATGCCCCCCACCTTCATCTGACTGTGATGCTGTAAATCAAACTGTGTTAATGTCAGTCTTAACGGGGCAAAGGACAGAATTTCTTGCCCGTGTCTTTGTTTTAGCTCTTAAACAGCTCCTTTAATGCCTTTTATTTTTTATTTATTTATGCTTTGACCCAGTTTGGTATGAGAAGGTCTACTGGATCTATTTATTTATGATATCATGTCATCGAAAACTAATGTTGATGGTTAAATGGTCTTTATATGGGGTACCTTTTTTGGGGGAAAGAATTGAAAGTTATGTCAGTATGTTTATCGAACATCCCGTTAAAGTCACAGCTGTTTGTTCCAGAATCACAACCACTGTGTACAACCCCCCCCCCCAGACTCCTGCATCGTCGGCTCATCTCATGTAGTTCTTTGTGTTGTACAACAGACTGGCCACTGTGATTGTTTAGCTATCTGATTAAGATAACTGAATAGCAGGCGCAGGTTCTTGTCAACTTTCAAAGGTAGATTCTGTGAGTTGACATAACTCAAACTTCTCCTACTTTTCCATAGAGTTGTATCATATGTATTATACTAGAGAGTACATAATTTGGTTTCCGTTTTATTTATTGTGGCGTCCAACTGACGTATGATTGCCGAGATTGATCAAGCCGGTACACCTCTAGTCTCTTTGAGAAGCCAAACTGTCGGTATGTGGTAGAGGAGAAAAGAGTCTTATATTACTCTAAAATCTGCATTGTTTTGGTCTGTTGATTGTCAGTGTAACTGCATGTACCCTCCATCATACAGTTCCCTCCATACTCTGTCCTTTAGTTCGTGAAAAAGTAAATACAACAAAGACGGTTTAATTTTTCTGTGCAATAGCCTGAAAGTATGGAACATATTGCTCTACGTGAAAATTACAAACCTCTCGCATTTATTGTACATGACCCTGGTAATAATCACTACATTTCCTTACTACAAGTAATACTTTGCCCCTCTGCTGCCACTGTTCTGACATTGAATGAGGTTTGTTTTGTTCTATCCGAACATACAACGTAAAGCTGAGGATGAGACTTGCTGACCAACCACGAACATTTTCTCTTTTTACCTTCTGCAAATTTTTTGACTCTTGTTCCTGTTCAATATTCAATGTTCTGCTTGTAGAACTGTACAAAGGAATACTGTATTCTGAGGGAAAACATGTTTGGAAGGCATTTGCAGCCCATGTTTGTACACAAAAATGTTAAATAAAATCTCCTGTATCTACATAGACTTACATGTTTGATTTTCTTTTTCTTTTTCTTTTTTTTTTTTTTTTAAGAGGGGGGACTTCTTAAGCTTAACCACTTCAACAGTCATCTGTCATAGAGGCGACCTGGAAAAGGCTTGGATAGTGAACAAATGGATGATGGATTTGGCATGAATACAATCAAATTACTGTGAATCTTCCAAATATTCACAATAAACACTATATCACTATATCATTCATAAAACAGTGCAGTCCTGTAGCTGAGCAGGGAGACTTCTCTTTGAGTTTGAAAGTAATAATGAATGATAATAGACAAATTTAAATGATTCTTCTGCCAGTAAACTTGTTTTAAAATGTTTTATTCTTATGTAGACCCCTGTGTTCTCTATTTTGGAAAAACACAAATATTTCATATTACCTCCAAAGATGAATATCTCACTTAGAATGTAACTGTTCTTATTTCACTTTTCTAGATTTGAATGAATAACATCCCACATAGCATACTGTATATTAATATTGCCAACATTCATTGCAGGGAAATCTCTTATAAGCTTTTCCTCTTGGATATTTCAGTTTATTGAAGTATGCGAGCACTATACAATGAATAACAGGTTGTCTTAATCATAAAGAGTATATGAAGCTGTGACGACTGATGTGATGCAGCCTGCTGTTGACAGAGAAGGAATTGTGGGTAACTGTTGTCCTTACCTTACATCACTTAGGAGTCATATCAGTCAGCACTTAAAAATTACACAGATACATTTAGCCTCTTTACACTGAGCTTGCCTGAGTCAAAGTTTAGGACCGTTCTGAAGACCATCTGAATTTGACACATGTTGGCTCTGGTATCTGGTGCACGTTCACTGACATATCCTCCTGTGTTTCATTGAAAGTGGAGATGAGATGCATATTGTTAAAATCTCTCCGCTGGATTGCAGCAGCAGGGACAAAGACAGAAGAGTGACCCCTACTGGCTGATTGTTGGTTGTTGCAGGTTCAGCTTGTCACTGAATGTTGATCTTGAGTCACAAACAATGTGTTAGTAATGTGTGGTTGAGGTTCTTTTACATGCTGTGTCAGAATCACCTTTTTCCAACATACTCATACCACTGACACTGTTCTTGTCTAAAAACCAAAGAGGATGTGTAGCGTGTTTGATAGATGCTGGAACAACACTTCTTCTTCACTTCCCTCCGTGAAGTGCTTTCAGGGCTTTGGTGCCCTTTCTCCTTTACAGCACCGGTTTGATGTTGCAAAGGTGATGTAGCTGCTCCAAAACAAGAGGCAAAGCAAATCATTTAGAAAAGTCAGTTGGCACCTTGTCTTCCAGACTGAGCGGTATGAGCAGCAGTGTCATGCTGCCCTAGTGCCTCTCTGAAAGCCATCTGGAAGGACACGGAGGCTTGAGTGTGCTGAATGAGCCGTGGTCGCACTTGGCAGAAATCTTTGAGGATTGATTTACATTTCACCAGATGGATAAACAGGCAGCCACATTTGTGAACAGAACATCTAAAGAATCCAGCTCCACTCCATCTGATGCATCTTCCGTCTCATCTTTGATGGAGTACTACAGTGTCGGTCAACTGTGCACAGTATGTGCATTTTCTTTGATGGGGTTTTTCCTTGATGCCTAAAATATCATCCTGACGTTGATGGTTTACATTATTCATGCAGGTCTATGCTGTTGCTTCAATGTTTCATTGACTGAAGAAACAACAGCTTCGTATTTGTGTGTTACCTCCATGTTGTGTCCATGTTCTTTTGTCAATTACAAACCTGTTGACGTGGGAGAACAACCACAGGAAACATTTCTGCGTTTTGAAATCATCCAACACATTTTTGCTTGCAATTGGACAATCATATCTGAAAACGATGAATCATGTTCTGACTTATAATCTCATGCTGACGTGCACCGCAGCTTCACTCCTGTCACTGGGTAAACTTCTCCATAAGAAACATGAGTGTTAGTAATACTTCCCTAGTCTTGTTCATCATTTGTGTGCACTGTTCAAAGTTGTATCAACAAGCATTAACCAACCAGACAGACATGAGATCTGAGCACTGCAATGACCTCAGTGGATCTAAAGCGCAAGAGAGAGAAAGACAAAAAAGGGAAGGAAAAAGGTAGAAAAATGCTAGATAGAAAGAAAAATATATATATATAATATGATATAATACATAGCCTATAATATACTGTATGTGAGATACTTTGGAAAGGTCTATTTGTCTGCCTTCCACTTTAATAATGTGTAAAGTTATTTGCACATGCAACCAACCATGAACACTTGGTGGAGGGTATGCAAGTGAATGCAGAGGGGATCTTCTTCCGGTTACGACTTTTTTTTATAGATCTGAGTGTATAGACTGTGTGATTTATTTCATTTAATTTAAACTCTTTATTTTTTCTTTATGGTTTTCCCTCCAACGTGTTGTCATCGGTTATTCCGTCTATACGTCACTGTTTACCAGAAGCCCCCCCCCCCCCCCCT